GGACCTGAAAGCCGGAGTCCCAGTGTCAGTCTCTGTACTTGCTGGATGTGTCTGTCTCTGTTCCCTCTGACCTGGACTGTCACCTTGAAGACAGATTTCAGATGAAAACCAGGGCCTGCCTCACACCCAGGGTCTACTTAATCATCTCGCCAATGAGAAATCCAACTGTACCTTGCTGGGGCCCAGTTACGAATGTATGCCTTTGAAACAAATGCAGTCTTAGGAAGACACCAGATTAAAAAGCCACACTCCTGAGGACAAGGCTCCCGCCTCATTTATGTGGATGCATATAACTGTACCCAGGAGTACATCATTTTGGAGAGGTAGATAGTCTCATCCTCAAATCCACAGCAAGAGTTGGAGAGAGGCTCTGGTCATCAACCGCACAACCCAGAACCATGGTCTTCCTCCTCCTCCCCTCCTCTTCTCCTTCTTCCATCTCCTCTCCTCCCTTCTCCTCCTCCCTGTCTTCTTTTCTTCCTTCTCCCTTCCTCCTTCCCTCCCTCTGCCTTGTATTTAATGTAACTAAAACAATATGGCGAGTGGGATGACAACTCGATTCTTAGAGTTGAAGTGGAAGCCAGGGAGTCTGCCCTTTGTGTCTTCGACTCCTTTGCAGGCAACTCTCTCAGAATCTATGGATATACCTATTAGCTACTGCCTTGACTCCGCCAGGAATGACTGATTTACTACTTCTCACCACTTTTACGTATGTATTTAATATCAGAAAGCATTCTGTCATTGTATTTTATTTGTTTTTTTCCAAAGGTAAGCTTTAACTCCAGGGCTAGGTAAAATTTTCCCTTGTCCACAAGGCATTTGAAGGAGTCTCTTTGTCCTCAGAAATGGCACCAAGCCCCGGGAGGTAATCCTTTTTGCTTCATACAGCCATTCTCCCTGAGTTTTCAGGGGCTTCCTCAGCTCATACAAGTAGAAAGTCGGACACACTGAGGTCTTTCCTTAGGCTGCTGGGCTGGGAGGACGCTGTCACTCAGGGGCTTCTGTCAGTAGCAGAAGTTCTCAGAGGTTAGAGGCTGTCTCTGGTAAGGTGATCTCCAAACAAATTTACCAGAGTGCAGCAGGCAGAGTGGAACTAAAGAAGCAGGGGAAAACACAAGCGGCCGGCTGCTTAATGAGTCCTGCTGAGGGGAGACAGGGTCCGGGTTGAAGGCCCATGGGACTCAAGTGATGAAAATAGGATCTCAGAACACAAGAGTAAAAAATGAGGCAAAAACTTTCAGGCCATAGCCGCAGCTAAAACAGAGGGAGATCAAAAACCCTGAGGTCGCCTGCCCAAAAAGAAGAAAACCCACGCCTGAGAGAGGAGAAAGGCTCCCTCCTCACTCAGAAGGCCTGGCTGTTCTTTTACAGGACAGACCATGTGGGGAAGTGTGGGATTTGAATGAAAACAAAATCAGAGAAATCAAAGAGGAAAGTGTAGAAAATGTATATTTGGTTCATTTAAAGAACACATGGAGACACAAAGACACACACATATACATATGTACACACACTCAGACACACAAACACACACACACACACACACACACACACACACACGCACACACATCTTTCTCCATTCTGCCGCTACCTGCAGAATTCTGCTTTTGCTTGTTGTTGATGACTTCCCAACCTGCTAAACAGTTTTATGTTGTACCCAGCTCTGGGAGCTGAGCACACCTATGTCAACACACTCGTACCTGCCAGAGTTGTAAGAAAAATTTGTGGACAAGACATCTGAGGAAGACATTGGCCTCTGCTTGAATTCCAAGACTCCCAGGAGAGATCAAAGGACTGTATCAGGGCATTTAGCAGCCTTGAGAGGAGGAGAGAGGGTAACCTGTCTCCTCAGCACTACGCTTGTTGCCCCTCTGCCTGGCACATGGCAGGGACGTTTCATTCCCCAGCATGGCTCGCAACCAGGCTTGCAAAACACCTTGTTTGTGCAGAAAGAATTCTCTAGTGCCAAGGATCATCTTGAAATGATTTGATTCGTTTTTGGAACTGAATGGAGAATTCTGGGTGAGGAAATATCATGTTATTATTGCTTGCTTACTAATGATCAGACAACGAGATACATATTTAAAATTAGATATAAAAGCACTTTTTAAGCCTATAGGTAGACATATGAAAGGGTCTCTGAATGAAGAAAGGAGATGTTTCCAAAGGGAGAGTGTGAATGGTAGAACAAGGTCTTCATAATTTTGAAAGTGGCTTCCAGCAGTATCCTGATTTTCCCTGCCTGTCTTAATAGCTGCTAAGTGCCCCAAATTTCTGTCCTCCCCACAAAAAAACTCATGAAAGAGTTTGGCACAAAATTGATATCATTTGACATCAGCAAATTTCCCCAGTGTCGAGACTTTGAAGTCCATGATCCTAGTATGATGATGAAAGCTACCTTGAGAGAGCTTATTGACATTTGATATCTATAAATTATTTCAGTAATAGCATACCAGAAAGCCACTGATGACGTGATATATGACAGTATATGAACCTCTGGAAAGAGACTTAAGTTCAATCCCTAAGTCCTTATCTTTCCCAAGCTATTCTGTCTTAAATTTCTGCTCCTATAGCCCTGTTTATTTTGGCTTTGGCCTCGGTTAAAGATTATCATCATTAATATCCAACAAAAACAGTTTAATCACAAATAGACCTAGGATTTCATTGGAAACCCTAACATATCATCTATAGCTCTGGAGGTCACATGAACTCTTTGGAAAATATTTTCTCTATTTAAAGAAGAGGCTCCCATAGGCAACCTCACTCTCGATGTTTCTCAGGTTACCCAGCTGAGAAAGGCAGGATTTGGTCTGCCAAGACTGAACAAAATCCATCAACGAGAAAAGACCATAAGCTGAAAGATGCATTCTGCTGCAGAATAGTTCATGATAGAAATCTTATTGTAAATATATGTAATTCTAAGGTAAATACGTTTCCCTGATCAGTGATGATATGCCAATTGCACAAAAAATTCAGTTTTTGAAAATATTGGCATAGAAGCACATTTTAGGGCAAATCCTTTGGCTTTCAAAAAATTCATAGATATATCATGTGTATGCTTAGTAAAGACAGAGACCACCCAGATATAGTTACCCATCTTTTGGTTGGGTAGTAAATACTACCCATGCCTAGTAAATGCTTTGGCGTTTATTTTTAAAAATTATGCTATAATTTGGAGTTTGCTAGCTAGCTGTTCAGAAACAATTGTCTAAGAGATCCAAATAATTCTCCCAACTATAGATGTCCTTGCCCCTTTTCCAAGGCTTCTCTTTCTGGACACATAGTAGTCCAGGGCATAATCTTGCAGCTATTAATATTTCCCTGCTTTTGAGTCCTGACTTTATCCTCACCAGATGAAAAGTTTCCACTCCAAGAAGCCTCTGAAATAGCAGTAACAAATGCAGTTCTCTCTGATCATAGTCGGGTTACATTAATACAAAACTAAGGATAGCTCATTCTCTCGTTCAGGATGATTACTCTCCCTAGCCAAAGCCAGCAAAAGTAAGAAACTGCGGTGTTGGCTGACATACCTCTTTTTGGCGAATTTGAGATTTACTAATACAAAATAAAAAGAAGTGTTATGGGTGTCAGTCTGTGCCTTCTTGACTCCACACTTAGCATGTGTGGAGAAAATTCTTGGTGAATTTTCACAAGCCCACGGGGCACGGAGAACCCTCCCTCCCTTTGTTTCATGAACAAGGTATGGGCAGTAAACCGGAGAAGGGTTGGTTTGGGTTGTACAGGAGCAGCCTGGGTTTGGTTTACATAGAGTCCTCACAGAGACCCAGTAGCGTGGAGCACAGCCACCTGCTCTCACGCAAAGCTTTCAAAGGAATTACGCGCCAATGTCAGCCGCCTCAACCGAAGTTTCTGAATTTTGAAGAATTTTAGAAGAACCCAGACTTTTTTCACATACTGAGAAAATAAATTTGTTAAACAAAAGTATACCCAACTGCAATAACCAAACTCTAAAATGATTCCAAATCCAACCTTTTTGCTTTCTGTTGACAAACATGCTCAAAACGTTTCTGGGTTAGAGAGACTGAACCTCAACATTTATGCAAATGTCACAAACAGAAAATTCGACCGTTAGACAGAAGGCACGGTTTAGGAGAAACTGCATGCTTTCTCTTTACGTCCCGCTGTGTTTCTTGGTGGTCGTTTTTTTTTCTTCCTCTGAGGTTACAGGATAAACAGACGCGGCACACGTTGTAAAATCTTCATGTTGTAGAGCTCCTGGGGCTTCCGGGTCTCTGGGGCTTTGCTGTTTGGTCCAGCTAAGAGGTTTCATGTGTGTTGTTATCTTTAGCTTCCAAGCATTTAACCCTTCCATCTCTTGAAGCAACCCCACCCCCTTCAAAGACACCCACTCCTCCTCAAGAGACAGAATGCTCTTTTCTTTTATCTTTCTGTTTGGAAAATAAACTCAGGCCGAAGAGCACTTGAAGATATTTCAGTCTGCTGGGAGCTAGTCTAGTTCAAGAAAACTGGCTATCAAGTCATAGGCCTTGGGTACCTCAGATCTACACTTGGAAACAGCGTAGAACACCAGGGAATAGAAAAAATATATAATAATTTGGGTTGAATTCATTCAACTTCTAGAAAAATGAATGAAGACATTTTAGGACATTTAAAATCAAATTTCAGAGTAAGCAAATCCCACCCTTATTACCATAGAATATTACTATAGAATGGTAAGAAAAGAAAAAAGCGAAAGAAAAGAAAAGAAAGATAGGAGAATATAGAGGCTTTCTGGATATTTCCTTCTGTTAAAAACAAGCACAGGGTCTACATGGAGCATTAAAGAGCCCAGTTTAATTGAGTCTACGACCCTAACATTCATTTTCCTCCCTTTAAGTTAGGCTGAGAGGAAGGTCCCAAATAACTGGGCACATGTTTTATCTAAATTAAAATATGGCTGTCCTTTAGTTTTGTATGCATGCCCTCATGTTTTTCTTTTTCCAGTTAAATCAAACTAAGGCCACCTCTTTGTACACGTAGAAACGTATTAATATTTTAATATTACAATACCAGGATCTTCACACAGTTTATAGACAATGCTTAATTCCACATTTAAAATATAGTAAATATTAGATTTACATAAAAACGAAAGTACTATTTACAAAAGTACATTAAACACCATTCGGATTAAACGTCCCCACTTGGATTTAGACAGGAATGAACTTTATCTGCAACTGACACCAAAGGGTCACGTGACTATAATAAAAGTTAAGATGCTATAAAAACCAACCAAATTAAAAACAAAATTAGGGTTCTAGAGCTAAGCCACTAGCGGTTCCAAATAATAATAATCGTATAATAATCATATTAAAATCCCAAGGGCAAAGGTCTTTCAGTTGAGGTGGCTAAGGGGTTCTTTGTGAGTGTGTCTCATAAGCTTTCATAAACTCTGGGGTCCGTGAGCCCTAACCTAAATGATTAGTCCATGAGAGGTCTTCCTGTTGAGTGAAGAATGTCCCAAATTACTTCTCCACCACCTCCTCCACACTGGGGAGTTTGCGTTCCTCCGAGGAAATGCTGTCCACTATGGAAGAAAGGCACTGAAGGCTGCTGGTGGCCGAGGCATCCACGCTTGCTCCACCTAAGTGCAAGGGGTGGGGGAAAAAAAACACAGAGCATATAGCAACCTGCAGCTGTGTCCCACAAAAGGCCACAAAGGCGGCTCAGAAAGACTGCGTCCCAAGAAGCCAAAAAAAAAAAAAAAAAAAAAAATGCTCCGCACTTTGACAGTGTATCTCTGAGCCTGTGATGAGTGTGATAAGCGCTAAGTGCGCTCTGGGCTCTGCCTCTGCCCGGCCAGAGCATCCCCGTGCTGAGCCGGATGCTTCCAGTGCAGCCCAGTGCCCTTTTCTTTACATTACCTTCCTTAGTAGTTATCACGAGCCCCCTGGAATGATCCGAAACACTTGGCCACTGGGGGCTGCAGGTGCGCAGGAAATCCGCACCCTCAAGCTGGAAAGAAAACCAAAGCAACAGATTAGGAAAGAAACAAATTCCGGGGGAAGAGGGGGAGGCTTGGGGGTGTCTCTTCCTGCTTCCTTGGGCCGGACCGCATTTCCTGCTTAGGGCAGGGGCTCGGTCTTCTTGGGTCACTGGGGGTTCATTAGAGAGGGAGCAGGGCGGGGAGGGGTGAGCACCAAGCAGGTGGAGGTTAAGGCCTCATAAAGGCATTTAATCGGTCTTTACACTTCCCTGCTCTGGCAGCATCTGGGCTTACAATTTCTTGCTTGGGTCTGTAGCTGTAGGGGTCCACCCCCAGCTCCTGCATCTTCTCTTGCTGATCCAGCCGGTGCAGCAAGTCTTGCAGACGTTCAATGTAGCTGATGGCGCTCCGCAGAATCTCTACCTTGGGCAGCCTCTGGTTGGGGTTGGCCACAGTCCGACGCTTCAGGGCCTCAAAGGCCTCGTTGATTTTCTTTAGCCTCCTCCTTTCGCGCAGGGTGGCAGCTTTCCGCCGATCTGTGGGGGCAGATTTTCTCTTGCAAGTCTTGCAAGCCCAGATCAGACACTGACCCGGGCAGTGGGAAGGTTGCAGGCCCGGGGGCGCCAGGACATGTTCCTCTCCACTGCTTTCGCTCCCGGCTTCCTGGGGCAGTTGGTCCTGGCAGGGGGACAGGGTACCATCACTCCCTGGATACAAAGGAGAGCCCTCGGCCACTTCTAATGGCTGCAGAGTCACATTTTCTCCATCTAAGTAGAAGAAATAGGAGCCAGTTTCAAAAAGGTCCATCATCATGTTCTCTTCCTTGGCCTCTGACTGCTCTGAACTGGGTGATGGACTCAAAAAGCCAGAGGAGCCACCCAGATGGCATTTAATTAGTGCGGTGACATAAGTCGACCCAGCTTTATATATAGTAGCTCCTGAAACTCAATCCAACTTCTAGCTGTCATGAAGCAACAGTCTCCCAAAGTGATTACAGCTAGCGCTCACTAGAGTTTGAAAGAGAACGGGGAAATGTCACCTCTCGGAGGGATGTGACAGTCCATATGACAAACAGGTTAAAACAACGTACACAGAGAGAGAGAGTCACATCGCCGAAAGCATCCATTTTGTGCTTCCATTTTGGACAGTTTACACACGAACCTGCTAACCAGGCAACTTCAAAACAACTGGGGATTAGCACTGTCCGGTTCCCCTCCCTCCGGGGGTTCATCTGAATTCTAAGTATAGACTCATGATGAGAGATCTCATAGGCAATAGCCATTGCTCCAAAATAGCCTCATTAATATTTCCAGTGTGGCTCGGCTCTTTTCTCTGTTCTGTCTGTCAAAAAGATGCCATCCCTGTGATTATAACCATTACAAGTGCTTCAAAGGTTACACATGACTTTCAGGCCTGAGCCTCAGTAGAAACAGGTAAACAATCTCTTTCCTCTCTTTTACTAAAACTGTAAGATGAGGTGGGTGTTGGGGGGTGGTGGCTGAAGGGTGTTCATGTCCCATGCTACTGTCTGAAATGACTCAGGATGCTCCCATGGTGACCTTCCAGGGCTACTTGTTATTTTAGAAAGTGGTAACTAAAATCTGAATTCTGTTCCCTTTCCCAGATGGAGTAATAGCATATGCAGCTAGGAGATAACTACAAGAAAGAGAAAATACATGTAACAATGCACTCAGAATAGCTGTTAAAAACAAGCCGCTCGCTTGACATTTCAAGTGTATTTTTGGCCTCATCCCAAGCGTCTTTGTTCTGCATCAATTTTTATTCGCTTTCCCACTGTCCACTGACTCCCCTAAGTTATTTACTAGGATTCAGATGAAAAAGGAAGCAGCCATGGCACATATAATGAAACAAATGTTTTTTTATTGCACTGTGTCCATAGTGCAACACACACACACACACAGACACAGACACACACACACACACACACACACACACACGGTTCCCAGCCCAAAGGTGGAATGTAGGAAGCCCCCAGATTTCAAAGAACTTTCTTTCATTTATTTCTGTGCCTATGGAAAAGTGCTATCTGAACTACTTCAAGATGACAGGGGTTGCTTTATCCAGTTTAGGTAAGGGTTTAATAAGATATTATCATACATACAACTTATGCAGCATGAAGCCGGGCAGTCAACATTAGTTATCATATTTAGCATAAACTTTAGTTGGGGCTAAGCATTACAAGGTGAATAAACTATAGCTGGGGCTTTATCTTCTCCCCTAACCTCTTGTTCCTCTTTCTTTCATTTTCTATCCTTCCTGAGCATTCTGGAAGGAGTACCTTCACTACCAACAAGTGGTCACACTTTATAGGTAGTGTCTGAAAACCTGGTGGGAAGTGTAAGGTCTTATTCTGCCTCAAACACTGACGATTGTACGCTATATTCTCTATGACTTCCATTTTCAAAAACTAAACTAAATTAAAGCAAAAAAAAAGCAATACAAAAATCACTGTCATGTAATTTGGGAATTAGCTAAAAATTTTAAGATGTTTTGCTTATTCTGGAAGATAGCTCTTTAATACCTCCATTGAAACCTGACCTTTGAATTCTAAGTTTGAGCCATTTCTCTGGTTTCAAGTATTTGCTGTTGTGTAGCTACGTAATTCCTTATAAAGCCAGAGAACCATCTTTAGACACTGGGGTGGGAGAAAACGCTAGGAAGGTAAAGCAGAGCACAACACCTAAATTATGTTATTTTATTCAATTTCCACCAGCTGCCTAGTCACCAAGATTAAGACTGCAGACTGAAGGCTAATGAAAGTTGGGGTCCAATCTAGCTTTTCATGTGGAAGTGAGCTTTTGCTTTTAGCCACATGTTCTGCTGTCTCTTATACGTAGAAGACAACTTGAAAACTTAACTTTCAAACAAAGAAATCATATAGTATTATTGCTCAAATAATTAAAATAGTGTCCTAATTACTCTTTTTATAATTTTAATACGTCTATCTCTTCTCACCAAATTTAAATCTATAGTAATTAATTACTTTGAGAGAAGGACAGAAGTAGGAGAAGAAAGAAGACAAGAAATGGCCTGGGAATTGGGGTGGGGAAATTTAAAAGGAGTTTGCTCAAACTTAACAACTCAGTTTCTCGTAATCTGTCCTTCAAATGGATGTAATGGCAGAACATGCAACGTTTGCTATAAAAATGAGACTTTTAAATTTGTGAAATCACATTTAGAATGGAGCACTATTAAGTAGGCAAAGGAAAAGCTTGACCAGTAGGCTCTGAGTGCAACCTGGCCCAAGAGGGACTGGTGTGCATACCAAAGGAATCACAGACAATGGTAATAAAGTGTGTGTGTCACACAGAAGGGTCTGGAGAGAGGGTTCAGTGGGTAAACTGTCACTGTCTGAGAGCAAGAGCTGGCTTCAGATCCCCAGAGCTCATGTAAAATGCTGAGCTAGGTGGTACATGATTGTAAGTAAGTCTTGCACTAGAAACGGTGGAGACAAGAGGTTCCCCGGGACTTGTTGGCCAGGCATTGAAGCATAAAAAAAGTGGTTGGGGGTCTCTAGGTTCAGAGAGGGGGCCTTTTCCTTACAAAACAAACAAACCAAAGTAGGGAATGATAAAATAAGATATTAGAGGATGACTTTGTCTTACATACACATACATACACATACACATGTGTTAGAATATCTTCTTAGAAGACATGTCAAAAGCTTTCACCATGAAGAAATGTTGAATGTTTAAGATGTTTAACTTGATTCAAGAGCTATATAACGTGTATATGTATCAAAACACATCATATCACACTTACTATAAATTCAAAATAAAGATGTAGCATGGTATATAAAATGCTTTTATTACTGAAATTAGTAGAGAAACAAGACAAAAAATACCACTATAGAAGAATTTCAAAGGCTGGTCTGTAGAAGTGCTTTTCAAGGTAAAACCGTTCCTAGAATCTGCTAACTTTAAGATGTATGAAGTAGATGTCACACATCACAAACTTGCTAAAGAATGTGGGAGTTCTCACATAATCCTTTTATTTTACAGTGAGTACAGAAATGTAGGAGACGAGGATTCTAAATTATAAATAAAAAGTTTCAGAGAACTGATGACTGACTGCCAAGGGTGGCTTTTCTTCCCATCAAGCCAGCCTTTTCCTATTGAATGATTCCCTGCTAAATTGTGAATCCCTGTCCCCACCATGGTGCAGAACTTCCGTAGTACAGTAAAATAGAATCAGTATGGCACAAGCAGATTTCTGCTCCTACCTCCTACTTTACTTACTTTTTATTAACTTATTTACCTCTTGATCGTTGTTTTGGAAGTTGTGGGCAGGAATGGGGAAGGAAGAATAAGAACATTCTAGCATGAGGAATAGCTGTCCTGTTACATTAGCTCAGTGGGAAAATATGCACTGACTCCAAACAACTACCTAGTGTACTCTTGGAACTCGAATTGTTTATAAAATGTGAGAGGCTTATAATTGCAATTATGTTTTTTCTCCGTAAAACATGAGGAAGTCATAAATGTTATCAACTGGCTAAAGAGGTTGGTGTGAATTCAAACCATCACATTTTAAATAGTTAAAATACATCTTTAAAAAACTTGGAGAACATAAGTAGCTACAGGAATTGACATTGTCATTAGCAACCCATGGAAAGAACCCTGAATTCATTCATCATAAGATCTTACACTAGGTGAATGGTAGAACATTTCCCAATAGTTTGTCCTGTCATTTGTAATTTATTATTATTTTCAAATGCATTTCTTTTTTCATCTTTCCCCAAAAGTTTGAAAAGAAGTCTAATTCTTGTCCAAGGAAAGGAGAAGAAAGAAAAGACTGTGGATAACTCAGCTAGCAGCAGAAGAAAAATGTTTTGGGTAACTTATTGAGCAGCAGATTTTAACTATGCATCTTTAAGAACGTAGACTATTGTGACAGGAAGGGGGCAGAATCTTTGGAGCAAGACATTGTTAGGGTTTTATTGCCTTAGTTTTGTTTTTTGTTGTTGTTGTTTGATTTTTTAAAAGAGATCAAGTGGTATATCTGATAAATACCTCATAATTTTGGTGTTAGCATTTGACATGAAATAATATCACACATACAAATAAACACACACACATTAGTGCATACTATGCGGTGCTCGCGCAGTGTTTACCAATTTTCCTCCTTTATTCATGAGTCTTTAATTGAACTAATCATGCCAATCATACCAAATAGACTATAAAGCCTAGTACAGAACCTGTTTGAGACAAATTTGGGGATTTGTTTGTTTTAAAGGTATCACAATGAAGCTATTACAAGTAGGCACTCTACTAATAGTGTTTCATGTCTTTCTGCCCTTGTTAAAATTTCAGTCGACTGGAGACAATGACAGTGGCTAAATTCACAGAAATGAGTAACTCAGGGACTTTGAAGAAGATTGCAGCCCTTTCAGGGTGTGTGACAGTAAGACGTCTCTGAGAAGTCACTGAGGTAGGATGACTTAGTGATAGAAGTTTTAAAAGGTTAAGGGGATATTTCTAGGAAGAAAAAAAAAACTTGGAAAACTGTGTTTTGGGGGGGGTGGTGGAAATAAGAGGAAGTTCAAAGAAAAGACTAATAGAGGGAAGTGGATGAGAGTTAGGTAGTGAAATTTCTGGTGTCTATCACTAGTGTTTGGGGCTAGATCATTAAATAACTAGATTCAAATAATCCCTTAGCTGAGCAGGTAGAGCTTGGGGCCAGCAATAAAAAGAAATAAAGGGAAACGTGGGTAGAAAAGAATGGAAAAGCAAACAGTATGCAAGACAGGTCTGCAGAAACATGGATGAGTGGCCCCACAGAAGAAACAAGGACAAGCCTGCCAGTAAAAGGCAAAACTC